ACAATGTTATAATTTCGAATATTTTTTATTCCCCTGTATCCAAGATCTGATTTTATTCCCTTTTGCCTGAAGAACTTCTTTGTTATTTCTTAGTAGTGAACATCCACTGGCAACAAATTTTTAGTTTTATTTGAGGATTTTTTTTCATTTTATTTTTTCATTTTATTTCTAGGAGATCATTTTCACTGGATATAGATCAGAACTTTAAAATTGACTCTTCATTATCTTCTTGTCTCTATTATTATTCTAAGATATTATTAATCATTCAAATCACAGTTCTCTTGTATGTACCGTATAATATCTCTCTGACAGCTTTCAGAATAACTTCCATTTGCTGCAGTTTGATAACTAGGCACTTGGGTGCATGCCATGAAATTTCTAATGAATTCACAAGTTCAGGGCACAATCTTTCCTTCATTTCAGAAACCAGATGTTATGCCAGTTCTGGGTTTGCAGGCCAAATGGTTGCTTCTGACTAATGCCAGTTATCAAATGAAGGGCTCAGTTTTCCAGTTTTTAATGAAAATTTGCAAGTAATTGAGATCCACTCATAAAATGCATTTTTAATATCTCACAAAAACAATCCGACAAACAATGTTTTAATAAGGATTTATTTTAGCATAATTTAAAAAAGGAGAAATGCTGGTGCCTTGCATATTGTATATACATTTTTCTAATTTGGGGAGGGGACAGGAAATAACAAAATCCTTAAATAAGGATTCAGGTTGAACCATTTTAACAATGAGATGTACAAGACACTATGTTGAAAAGGAACTCTACAACTTCTGGGAAGGGGAGGAGTAGGGGAAGTGGGGAGGGAAGGGATGGTAGGGGAAAAACAAGAGAGGTGATAACAATGCTCGATAGGAAATGTACTCATTACCTTACTCATGTAACTTCAACCCCTCTGTATAGCATCTTTACAATAAAAAATATATTTAATAAAAAAGGAGAAATGGAGAAAGTAAGAGTTAAAGTCTGAAAATCATAGTTTCTATCTGTAGTCTTTTTTCTTTTCCTAGCAATTTCCAACCACTGGATAATGGTTCTGCATAGCCAAGATGAATACTGTCTATTAATATCAATTTGGAAACACCTTGGCAAACACAACCAGAAGTGTGCTTTACTTTCCTGCTAGGTATGTCTAATCCCACTGACAAGATTAACTATTGACACTTGTGTAGCTGTTCTTTTATGAATTTAGGATAGTGTTTTCTTTAAAAATATTTTTAGCAGTACTGGGGTTTTAACTCAGTGCCTCACACTTGCTAGGTAAGTGCTCTACTACTGAGTTATGCATCCAACTTCTTAAATTTAAAAGATTTAAATTTGTGTTAGAATTGTGTGTCCATGGCTCACACCTGTAAGACTAGCTACTCTGGAAACTCGGATATAAGGCTCTCAGTTTGAAACCAATCAAGGTAAATGAGTCTGAGACACTCATATCCATTTAACTAGCAAAAAAAAAAAAAAATTGAAACGAGGAATAGCTTACGTGGTTGAGTATTAACCATAAGCACAAAGATTTTGATGCTGGTAATTAAACCCAGGACTTATGCATGCTAACAAATATATGCACTACAAAAGACATATGCCTTTAGCTTCTAAATTTAATATTATTTAAAATTATTTTTAATTAACATATAATATTTGAACTTAGTTATTGTGTATAGTTCATAATTCAATATGTATATTTAATGTACAATGTTAAATAAGGGTATTTAGCATTTTCATTTTCTTATGTATTATTTCTGTATAGACAAACTTCAAACACTTCTAGTTATACTGAAATGTGTAACTGTTGTAGACTCTAGTTATTCAATTATGATATATAACATTATAACCACTTCTCACTTCTTTCTTTTTCTTTTTTTTTTGTTGGTCATGGGGCTTGAACTCTGGGCCTGGGTGCTGTCCCTCAGCTCTGTAGCTCAAGGCAAATGCTGCACCACTTCAGCCACAGCGCCACTTCCAGTTTTCTGGTGGTTAATTGGAGATAAGAGTTTCATGCACTATATCCTGTCCGGGCCGTGATCCTCAGTGCTCACTCAGTCTCCTGAGTAGCTAGGATTACAGGCATGAGCCAACAGCGCCAGGCTCCACTTCTCACTTGTAATTGTATTTTGGTACCTATCACCTAATCTCTCAGTGTCCTTTCTTCCTTTACCCTTCCCAACTTCTTACGGCCTCTATGGTTTCTACTTCCAGGAGCTTATCTCTTAACTTCCACAATCATTGAGAATACATGTTATCATAGTTGTCTTTCTGGGCTTGGCTTATGTCATTTACCATAATATATTTCAGTACCATCTGTATTTGTACAATTCTTATTAATGAAATGCTGGGCTGGATGGATCATAGCTTTGACTCAGTCATACTTCCGGTGTACCGATATAAAATAAAATAGGTCAAGATTACTCAGTTTTATGTCCTGTCTCTAATTCTGCCATAGTCTTTAATATCTAGCCTACAACAATGTTTTGTAAGTAATCTTGTTTGCTTTCTTGTTGCAACTCTTCAGTATCTTAAAAGGAAATAATGTGATGTTGATGTAGTTATTGGTTTTTATTCCTCTGTGATCTCCAAGTAATTTTTATACATTATATATTTCATCTTCTTTAAAGAGGAGTTTTCTTCAACTAATAAGACATCATTTATTTTTTATAAAAAGGAAAAAAAACCTATCATCTATAAGATAATTTTATGTTAGAAATCTGACATGGCAAGGTTGACATTATTGACATTTTTTTCTAAGACGACCTGTCCCGGATTTCATTAATGGAGAGATATAATCATTTTTATCATAGATATTATAGGTAAGTCCAAACTTAAACCAATGGCATCTAAGAGCAGCTCTCAAAATACAAAATGAGCCAATTATTTCCTTCACACTTCAAAAGAAAAAAGATCTGAAAGACATTCCCCAGAACACATTGGTCATTATAACAAAATGTTTCAAAGAGAAAAGAATAATTTAAACACTTTCTTAAGTCCTTTTTATATCCTAAATTATGAATTCACTAAGAAAGGACAAATGAAGCTGCACACCAGTGGCTGGTGCCTGGAAGACTGAGGAAGATCGTGGTTCAAAGCCAGTCCAGTCAGTAAATACTGAGAGAGTTTTTCCAAGTAACCAGTGAAAAAAGCTAGGATTGGTTCAGAAACAGTGTGAACTGTGAATAAGCAAGCCAACCAAGGTCATGAAGCCCTAAGTTAAAGCCCTGGTGCAAACCACAGACACACAGATACATACACTGACACAGACACAGACACACAGACACACAGACACACACACAGAAGAAAAACAACAAGTTTCCTATCTCTTGAGAAGCAAAGGAATATACAAAACATGTTTTTCTGCTAAGATTCAGCCCCAATCTCCAATTTTATATTTCCTCCACTGAAAGAGCAAAAGCAAAACAAAAAACACTCAATATATTGAGTGCATCCAGATTGCCTATTAAGATAATGGAGATGTTTCAAACCAAATTAAGGTGCCTGATCCAACTCAGATTTTTTTTTTAACCTTTCAGGCTTTTCATTCCCAATGGGAGCACTGAATGGGATACGTACTTGATCCCTATTTTCATGCTCTTTTAGATGGACAGGAATTTCCTACAAGCCTGTACAGACAGCTTACTGTCTTCTGCCTGTCCAGTGAAACCAAGAAGTAAAGAGAGGCAATGCTCTATTTTCACTTGTATGTGCAGGTCTTGGGGCTTGGGCTCAGGACCTGGGCACTGTACCAGAGTTTTTTTTTTTTTTTTTTTTAAGGCTAATGCTCACCACTTGAGCTTTCAGGGCTCTATTTCTGGTCTTTTTTGCTGGTTAATTGCAGATAAAAGTTTCAGGGACTTTGCTGCTACAGCTGGCTTTCAACCACAATCCTCAGATCTCAGCCTCCTGAGTAGCCACTGCTCCCTGCTCCCGGGCTGTTTTTTGTTTGTTTGTTTTTAGGAACCTCATTATCTAAAAGGGAGCAGAAAAACCTGGAACTTGGTCTGGGAATGTGGCTTAGTGGTAGAGTGCTTGCCTAGCACCCATGAAGCCCTGGTTCAATTCCTTAGTACCACATAAACAGAAAAGGCCAGAAGTGGTGCTGTGGCTCAATTAGTAGAGTGTTATTGAGCAAAAGCTCAGTGACAGTGCCCAGGCCACGAGTTCAAGCCCAGGACTGGCAAAAAAGATAAAGAAAAAAAAACCCTCTTGGAACTCAAATTTAATAGTAGGGAAAATATTCCACCATTTAAAAGATATAAATAAGGGTTGGGAAGGTGGCTCAGTGGTAGAGCGCTTGTCTTGCATGCATGGGGCCCTGGGTTCGATTCCTCAGCACCACAAAAGCTGAAAAAGCCAGAAGTGGAGCTGTGGCTCAAGAAGTAGAGCACTAGCCTTGAGCTGAAGAGCTGAAGGACAGTGCCCAGGCCCCGTGACAAAGAAGAAAGAAAGAACGAAAGGAAGAAAGAGAGAAAGGAAGGAAGGAAGGAAGGAAGGAAGGAAGGAAGGAAGGAAGGAAGGAAGGAAGGAAGGAAGGAAGGAAGGAAGGAAGAAAGGAAGGAAGGAAAGAAGTCCTCCATCATTGCTAAGTCCTCCTGAGCCGCTGGTCAGGGCGGCTAAGGCTTAGGGATACTTCCAGAAGATTCGGGGCATTCTTCCTCTCTCCGATTTTGTTTTGGAGTAAAGGTAATTTAAGTTCGATTTTTGGAGACTTCCTTTTTTCAGTCTTTGATTCAAAATTGTCATTCCCGAGGCGCCTGCTCTGCTTCCCACGGTCAGCGGGTGCACTGCTGCCAGGTGTGCCCAGCTCTTAACTCCCTGGCTCGGCTTCCAAACACAAGCCTCCTCCTTCTGCCTCCAAAGGCAGAGAAGCCGGAACCCAGATCCGACTCCTGAAGCTTCCGCGCCTCTCACAGCCCGCGCGCTACACACCACGCATGCGCCAGCCGAGAGGGGCGGGGAGTCGGGCCGGCGTCCGGCGGTGACGTAGAAACAGAGCGCCGTACGGAAGAGGCTGTCCTGGTCGGGAGCCGTCATGGTGCACTGCAGCGGCGGGTTGTTCAGAAAGGTCCGTACCGGTGCTCCCGTGCCGGCTGGGCATGCTGTGCGCCCCTCGCGCCCTCCCCGGCGCTTTCCTCGGTCGGGACCGTTTTCCCCGCTGGGTTTTACCGTCCGCCCGCCGCCCCAGGCGGGGTGCCCGCCCTCGGGGGCGGACGGGGGTCTCAGCCCCTCGCGTGTGGGCCTTGTTTGGGGGGATGGTGGGCGGGGTTCTTCGGGGGCGCCGTGTGCTCTGAGACGGCGGCCCGGGGCACCTACCTGCCGTGTAGACACGAAGTGCAGCATACATGGAGCATTGGGGCTCTCGCTCTGTTCCGCTTACATGTTGTGGGCATTTTTTATAAGTCTTGCGCGCCCGTGCACTTTGTGTTTGTTTTTCGGTCGGTTGTGGTGCTTGAACTCAGGGCCTGGGCGCATTAGGGTTTATGGGGACATTTCTGCCCCGGCTGGCTTTGAACAGTGATCCTCAGATCTCATCCTCCTGAGTAGCTACGATTACAGGCGTTTGCCACCGGCACCCAGCTTCTAGTGCACATCTTAAGGTTTTTCTGACGAATATCAGACACCAAGAGTGTGTATTGATGGCTAAAACATTTGGTGTTAATACAGTGTCTTTTTTTTTTTTTTGGTCCAGTCGTGGGGCCTGAACTCTGGGCCTGGGCGCTGTCCCTCAGCTCTTCAGCTCAAGGCTAGCACTCTACCACTTGAGCCACAGCGCCACTTCCGGCTTTTTTCTTTTTTCTTATGTGGGGCTGAGGAATCGAACCCAGGGCCTCAGGCATGCAAGGCAAGCGCTCTACCACTGAGCCACCTTCCCAGCCGGAAGAGGTTTGTTGTTTTGTTTTTTTTGTTTGTTTGTTTTAAGCCGGGCACCCGTGGCTTGTGCCTGTAATCCTAGCTACTCAGGAGGCTGAGATCTGAGGATCGCGGTTCAAACCCAGCACGGGTAGGAAAGTCCGTGAGACTCTTATCTCCAATAAACTCAAAAACTGGAAGTGGTATTGTGGCTCAAAAGATAGAGCGCTCTACTTGAGCTGAAGAGCTGAAGGACGCGCCCAGGCCCAGAGTTCAAGCCCCACGACCCACAAAAAAAAAAAAAAAAGTCAAGCATTGAACAGAAAATGTAAGGGCCTTCCTCAGTTAATTAGAGTGGTCAGTGTTTCAGTTTGAAGACTTCCTAGACTGAACTAGTATCGATTAAGAAATTATTTTGATAGCCTTGGAGGTTCAGTGAGGAAAACAAGCACTAAACATAGTGTAAGATATCATAATGATACATGTATAATCAAACTGCTAGGAAAGCCAGAAAAGTTATAGTGTTTGGCAGGCTGCCAGTGTTCTACTGGCTGCCTGTGTCTCATGCTTGTAATTCTAGTTTCTCAGGAGGCTGAGAGATGAGAATCAGCATTTGAAGCCACTCTAGGAAAGAAAGTCCATGAGACTTAACCCAATTCACCAAGAAAAACCAGAAGTAGAATTGTGGCTCCAGTGATAGAGTGCTAGCCCTGAGCAAAAAAGCTAAGGGACAGCCAACAGGCCCTGAGTTCAAGTTCCACTACCAGTACAAAGGAAGAAAAAGGCTTCCAATACACTCTCAAATTATGGAACCATGTTTGGTTTCATTACTTGAAAGAACATTGAGGTTATGGCATTCAGGTAGGTTTATGATAGAAAATAACAAGTGCCTTTCTAAATAGAGGAAAAGCAGCAGCATGATATAGAGTGAAGCAGTACATCATGTAGAAAGAGCAAATAGGGACAGGACAATGGGAAAGGTTTAGAGAGGCAGTACATCATGTAGAAAGAGCAAATAGGGACAGGACAATGGAAAGGGTTGAACAAATGAAAATGACACTGGAAAGGTAGAGTAAGGACTTTGAATATAGTATTATAAATTTGAAATAGTAAAACCATGATGGTTTATGAATAGAGGAGAAACATCAAATTCTTAAAAAAAAAAATAGCATTTGACAGCAAGATGGAGGAAGCATTAAGGAAGGAATGAATAGTCACTGGAAGATCATTTAGGAGTTAATATGCTGGTCAAGGTTCTCCAGCACAGTACAGGAAAGGAGAGAGGGCTTCTGGGAAAGAAATGGATGTCTGCAGACTCAATGATTAGCTGATCCTATTTTTTGAGGGAACATTGGAGGAACAAATTTAGGAAGGTTTATTTGTGTGTTAACATTTTCTTTATGAGGTGACTATTTTCCATTCAGTTGATAGCCACCAAGTTATATGTTTGGAGGGGTTGAGAATATAAAGTACAGGTCTTTCAGTTGCTTTAAACTACTAACCACTTCCCAATAAGTTCCAACAGATCAGATATAGAAAATATCTCAATTAAATGATGGTTATTAGTACAGGCTGAAACCACCCAATATAGGAAGTTCCAAATGAAAAAAGGACCAAGATCAGAGACCTGGTTGATAAGTAGAACAATAATTAAACATTGAAAAACAATACCATAAAAGAGATAAATGGAAAAAAGAGGTAACATTAAGTGAGCTAAGAAAAAATCTATATACATGGCATGTAGATAGCCATTATTGATTCTTCACTAAATGAAATCTTGGTGGAACGAAACTAGGACTTCTAAGTTAATTAATGTATTTGTTATACAAATATTTTCTCTTTTTTCTCTTTTTAAGTATGGAAAATTCATTGATAAGCTAAGAGTCTTCACCAAGGGAGGAAGTGGTGGAATGGGTTACCCTCGTTTAGGTGGAGAAGGTGGAAAAGGTGGTGATGTATGGGTTGTAGCGCACAAAAGAATGACATTAAGACAACTGAAAGACAAATACCCTCAGAAACGGTTTGTGGCTGGAGAAGGAGCAAACAGTCGGTAAGTGCTTAGTGAATGACTTGGATTTTCTAAAATCAAACACTTAGGAAAAAAAACCTGTCTCCCAGTGTGCACCTGTATTCTTCTTTGTACTTCTGTAAAAGCAGAAAATAATTTGAATCTTTACTATTCTAACATTATCCTTGGCAACCTCTAAGAAACCTCTCTTAGATTTGGTAATGTAATTACTTAGCACCACCATTAAAAAAATAGTCACACAAAAAATGAATCATTAATAATTGGTCACCCAGAGATAATTACAATTAAGTTTTCCACACTTTCTAAGATGTTTATGCATGGTAACACAAATGTAGTTGTAATATATTGTATATATGTATATAAAATCAGACACAAAGAAAAGAAAATGAGAATATACCATTTTACATCATCTTACATAACAGCTTTTTTCATGACATTATTCAAGATGCTACATAATATTGCAGTACTGGGATTAAAATTGTATCATTTGATTTGTGTTTGTTTTATTTTCAGTCATAGCCATAATGTAATACCCTTACGTAAAGATTTTTCATATAGTTGATTTTTTAAAAAATACAGTTCTAGACTTGCAACTACTAAGTTAGAAGTTTATATCAAGAAGTTTATGAGCAGTTTGAGAGTAGATGTTATAAGTACTGTCAAGCTTCATTAGTTAGATTTTCTAGTTTTTTTTCCCCCTAGCTTTTTTGTTTTGTAACAATAGTTTTCATTAGAGATGTTCAGTATATTAGTTTGGTAACTTAAGTCATTACCAGTTATATAATATACAGTAGTTAAACTTGATAGGGATAATTTTAGTTTTTCTTTAGTATTTGACTATTTAACATCTGCATTAGATAGCATGGCTGATTACTGTTCTTTGTAAACTATTATATTTGCTTAAAGTCTAAATCATTTCATTTAGTGGGTTTTTCTTACCTTAATTTAGGGTTTTTGTTTCGTTTTGTTTTTTGATAGGGTTAATGCCTTGAAAGGCTCCAAAGGAAAAGACTGTGAAATCCCTGTTCCTGTGGGTATTTCAGTAACTGATGAAAATGGTAAAATTATAGGTGAGTGTATTGATTGAGGGTTTTGGGCATAACTTATCTTGAATTTTAGGAAAAAATTTAGCACCAATAATTTTAGCTGCTAATTTATAAAAAAAAAAACTTACTAAAATGCATATAAAATTTATTTAAAATTTACTGCTGGATTTTAGATACAATACTATTTGATTTTAAACCATATAACTAGTCTGTTTTCAACTGATTGCCAAAGTGGTTTTTCTAGGGTCATATTTTTAATTAATTAATTAATAATAGTGCTGAAAGCCTAGCCTAGGGCCCCAAGTATGCTGCGAAAGCAATTTTTGCTGTTACCACTCCCCCCCAACCACAGGGTGAGACTTAAATTTCATATTATGGTTTAGTCTTTCAAGTTTATAAGTTTGAATGCTTTTCCAAATAATTTCTAAAAGAAAAATACCATATTATTGATTTCATTGATCTTTGCTATATTTTCTCTCCTTCTTTTAAAGGAGAACTCAACAAAGAGGAAGACAGAATTTTGGTAGCTGGAGGTGGTCTTGGTGGTAAATTACTTACAAATTTCCTACCTTTGAAAGGCCAGAAAAGAACAATTTACCTTGACTTAAAACTGATAGCTGATGTTGGCCTAGTAGGGTAAGCACTATTCATGTTTTTAGTATACTTTCAGGGAGATAGTTCATGAAGAAGCATGCATGTCAATAGTAATTTGAGGCTAGAATTCATTTGGAATTATAAACTTTGTCATGAGTGACCCTTGGACAGAGAAGGACTTGGGAACCATCTGTCACTACTCACCCTGCAGTCAAAAATCTGCATATAACTTTTCAATCCACCCAGATTTAATTAATAGCATTCCTCTTATTAACTAGAAACCTTACAAATAATATGAAGTCAACACATGTTGTATATATGGTGAAAAATGTGCAAGAACTTTTACTTTAAAATGGATTCTTCTTGAGAGATAAGCTACTCATGGAGATGGTTGGCATTCCATCTAAGGAGGTATTTTTTAGCACTTGAATGGACTGCAAATAGTATCAGAAAATGGCTACAAAATTATTACAGTAGCTTAATATATGCCCAGTTTATTATGTAGCTATGTTATAATGCCACATCTTTATATTTGCTTATATTTGTCTTGACTTCAGGTAGCACTAGGTATGGTAATGATTAACTTTGTTTGTCAGCTTTATTAGATTGGAAGGCATCTAGGAGATCAGTAAATCACACCACTAGATACGTCTGGTAGGGCATTTCCAGAGAGAATTAAGTGTGGCAGCTCTGCTTCAAATGTGGGGAGCAACATCCATACATTGATGGCCTAGATGGAAAAAAAAAGGAGACAGGAGAAAACCCAGTAGTGCAGACATTCTCTCTTTTGTCCCTCACTGTCTGTCTGGCTCACATCTGTCTGCTCTTTTCTACTCACCTAATCATAGTGGACTGATACCTCTGAAAATATGAGCCTAAATAGATCTGTTTAAATCTGTTCTTCCCTCAAGTTATTTGTATCAGACATTTTTATCATAGTGACAATAAATCTAATACCAAAATTGATACCAGGCATATTAAGTATACATTCTACCATTGACTACATCCCAGAGTTCAACTTTTAATCCCAGATACATTTAAGAAGCCTATTTCTTGAATTGCTGTGATTCAGAAATAAGCAACATTTAGTAATATGGTATTTACTGTAATGTATAGCCACATTTACTTATTTCAGATTCCCAAATGCTGGAAAATCGTCTTTGCTAAGTCAGGTTTCTCGTGCAAAACCAGCGATTGCAGATTATGCATGTAAGTATAATGTGTATTTTTTGTGTGGAAGCAGATTGTGTGTGTGTGTGTGTGTGTGTGTGTGTGTGTGTGTGTATACACTGGTTCTGGGGCTTGTGTGTGTGTGTGTGTGTGTGTGTGTGAACACTGGTTCTGGGGCTTGAACTGAAGGCATTGTCCTTGTGCTTTTGTGCTCAAAGCTAGTGCTCAGTCACTTAGCCACAACTCCAGTTCTGGCTTTTTGGTGGTTCATTGGAGACAAAAATCTTACAGACTTTTCTGCCTGGTTTGGCTTCAAACTGCAATCCTCAGATCTCTAGCTCCTGAATAACTAGGATTACAGGCATAAGCTATCAGTGCCCAGTGTCAGGCTTTTAATTTTGTGTGTGTGTGCGTGTGCGCACGTGCGCGTGTGCCTATATTGGGACTTGGAGATTGATGGTTCTCTACCACTTGGACCACAGCTCTACTTCTGGCTTTTTTGTTAATTAACTAGAGATAAGAGAAAAGATAGACTTTTATGCTCAGGGAAGATTTTTGAAGACCTAATTTTCACTGAGTTTAAATAAAATTGACAGCTTGGAGGTGTCCTAATTTTGAAACTTTTAGGAATTGGGAAGATTAATTTGACAATTGTAGAAACTAGATGAGCTATAATAGAAACTTAGATTAGAGTTGAGGGCTGGGAAGGTGGCTCAGTGGTAGAGTGCTTGCCTTGCATGCATGAGGCACTGGGTTCCATTCCTCAGCACCGCATAGCAGAAAAAGCTCAAAGTGGCTCTGTGGCTCAAGAGGTGGAGTGCTAGTCTTGATCTGAAGAGCTGAGGGACAGCACCCAGGGCCACAGTTCAAGCCCCACACCTGACCCAAAAAAAAAAAAAAGAGTTGAGAGTTCATAAAAGAAAAAAAAAAAGAGCTGAGAATTAAGGTTTAGTGAGCCCGTGGGACTTTAAGGCCATGCTCCAGGGAATGGCCCTTATTTTCCCAGGGAGTGGCTACTTTATTATTCTTTGAGGCCCTAATCAGGCCAGCCTTCCCAGCCTTTTCTTCTCAAATGGGACCTAGCTGAAGATAAGTGATGAGGCCACACAGATTCAAGGTAACCAATGAAGATCCTCTTTCAAAGAAACTTTATTTAAGTGAAATAGACTTGAAGGTTATGACACTAGATGAGTTAACGCTGAGATTGAAACAATAATATGAGACAGACTCAAAAATACCTGAGAGAAGACTGAGTAAATAATGTGTTGAGACAGTGGGCTGACCACAGGGACATTTTATGAATTGAGAAAAGGTATAGTGATTATCTCTACCAAATTCATTGATGATTTAGATAAATGAGGCACTATTTTCTTCATACTTTCATCCAAGCCTGGAAGTAAACTTTTTAAAGTAGAACATTCGGTAAGTCATCGGTTTGAATTTCTGCTTGGTGATAATAGAGTCGGAGATGAGTGGAAGATAAATCTACCTTGTCCCAGTGTTTAAGTGCAGCTTTAACAAGGATAACTTACGTTTGTTCTTAATGGTTCAAATCATTTCCAAACACACAAAAAGTTCATAGTTAAGTGTTCAGTGCTCATTCAAAAGAACCAAGAGGAATGCAGCTATCCAGGGCTATATTGAACAGCTTAAAAAGAGTTGGCTTTACAGTTAGTACCTTAAAATTAATCAGGATGAACTAAATGACTTTATCATTCAACTTGACAAGTAGTAGAAGTTATGCTGTATACCATTCTAGTTCTCCAACCAGTAACAGTAAAAGTCTGACAGTAAAAGTCTCAAGCTTTACCCTCAAGTACCGGCAGGCCTACATCTTCTGAGTCAATAGCAGACAGAGGGCAAAAGTAAAGACTGCAGTCTTCTAGCAAATGGACAAAAACAGCAGCTCTTTTACTCAAGGTTACCCAGCTCTGAATGTCCCAGGAAAGATAACACTGCTGAGGGTTACCTTCTCTAGGGGATGATAAATAAGGTATCCAACAGCTAGGAGAGAACTGGAAGGAGGTAATAATTACATAAACCACCTCAGTGTAGAATATGAAAATATGGATTATCCCATGAATGTGAAAACTCTCATTACTCATTTGACACTGATTCTAAACATTACCCTCAAGAATAGAGCAGTGAGTGGGTAAAGTAACTCAGCTATGGGTTCCTCTCATATTCAAAATGGTTTAGGCACAAGTATAAATGTACAGAGAAGAAACTACAAAAAATTAATCATGCTTTTCATAATTTGCCTTTGTGAGTAGATGTTTTTATGTAGTTTTCTTTAATTTCTCTTTACTTCAATACCTCTGCTGCTTGAAAATTTAACAATGTTTTTTACTTATATGAGTTAATGTGAAATTGTAAATGAGTCTTTCTTTAAAGTATAATACAATGATATCTATGTATTGTCATCTGTAGAACCTGTGCAAGAATATACTTATGCTATTAATATTTTTATGTCATTCAGACTTTTGAGATATGGATTTATGGCTGCTAGTATTTTTTTTAATCAAAAAAGTTGGATTTTATGGAAGTCCTATAGTAGTATTAGTGTTAGATATGTCTGTGTATTTGTCTTCATGTAACTGTTAAAGAAATTAATTTACTTGCTCAGTTTTTATGAACTGTATATTAATGTATATTGTTCTGTGACTCCAGTATATCTTAACGGTATTGACCAAACCTACAGATTTTTATTGTAAATACATCCCTTCTCAAAAAGAACCTGCTGTTATATTTAAGCTCTTGCCATTACTAAACAAAAAGAATGACATATACTGGGAAAAGAAAATAAGAAATTGGTCTAATTAAGTTAGACTAATTGAGAAATTAATCTCTGATCAGTAGAGTTATTTTGAACAAATTAGTATAAATTTCCTGTTCGGTGTTAGTTTTATATATATAGGAATGTTAAGAATAGAAAAGGAAAAGCAAAAGGGTCGTTGGAAAGCAACTAATTAGTACGTATGGCTTAAAATAAGGCAACATGAAAAAGGACTAGAATTTTACCTGTAGATTCTGTGATGGAAATCTAAATTGTGAGCCCCCTAATATACCATTCTCTATAAGTATACACACAGACACACACGCAGACACATACACACGCACACACACACATCTATTTTGTTTCAAGTATATGTGAACAAAATAATTATAGCTTCCATTTAAACAAATTAAAAAGTCTGAATTAAACTATTCACACAACATAAGAATTTATTCTATATATAATCTTAAGAGTATTGAGGGGCTGGAAAGGTGGCTCAGTGGTAGAGCGCTTGCCTTGCATGCCTGAGACCCTGGGTTCGATTCCTCAGCACCACATAAGCAAAAAGAAAAAAGCCGGAAGTGGCACTGTGGCTTAAGTGGTAGAGCACTAGCCTTGAGCTGAAGAGCTGAGGGACAGCACCCAGGCCCAGAGTTCAGGCCCACGATGGACCCCCCTCCCCCCTTCCCCCAAAAAAAGTGTTGAGAAAAGACAGCTTTTATTCCTAGTCTTAACTGATCATTGTTTTTCCTTTCAGTTACAACATTAAAGCCTGAACTTGGAAAGATTATGTACAGTGACTTCAAACAGGTATTTTAAAACACTTGATTAAAAGAGTAAATACTTTGTTTTGGTATAGAACTTTATAATATCTGCCTGTTTCTGAGGGGATAATGTAATAAGATTTGTTCTATAAATAAAACTATGATTGAATTAATTCTGCTCTCCACTGTCATGAGTAAAATGCTGGAGAAATGACTAAAGTGGTAGATAGAGGCCTTCTTAGCAAGTACAAGGCTGAGTTCAATCTCTAGTCTCTCACTCAAAAAAAAATTAGAAACTAATCAATTATTCTTCCAAATGTATGTTCAATATGTGTTCAATATGTAGTTACCATGTTGTTTCTACATTGTGTCTTCCTTAATTTCTGTTTCTTCTCAATTCAGATTTGTATTTTATTAACATTGGATTATTGATCTCCATTCAATTTCTAAAGTTTGGAAATGATTTTTTTGCACTTTCATTTTTAGAAGACAGTTTTATGAGATTTTCATCTCATCCACTTACTAAAATTTATTTTTATGGATCACATGGTAGTGGCTCGTGCTTATATTTCTAGCTACTGAGGAGGCTGAGGTTTGAGAATCATAGTTTGAAGCCAGCTCTAAAGGAAAGTCTACGAGAGCAAAAGAGCTCAGTGACAGCATCCAGGCCTTCAGGACCACTACATGTGTGCACATGCACGCACATACACACACACACACATTTTTTTTTCCTTTATAAAGAAGAATTGTAGAGTTGCTTTTTTTTTTGTATATACAAAATGTATATACACAATATAATTCACAATATGCACAATATAAAATGTATATACACAGTGATGTTTATAGCAACTTTATTAATTTTTAACTACTGGAAGTTGGAAACAATTATGGTATCTTTCAGTACATAAATGGATTTATGTATCCATTCCTATCCAGAAAATAGAATATTCAGTTCAAAAACTAAATGCGCTCTCAAGCCTTGAAAGTTACAAAAAGTGAAAGAAGCCAGTCTGATTAGTCTATACATTGTATAATTCTAATCAGTTGACATTGGCAAAAGCAAAATTAGAGAAAAGCAGAAAGATCAGTGGTTTACAGGGCATGGGAGGAAGGAGTGATAAACAGGTAGAATCGAGAGGTTATTTTTTATTTTTTTATTTTTATTTTTTATTTTTTGGGTCCGGTCGTGGGGCCTGAACTCTGGCCTGGGCGCTGTCCCTCAGCTCTTCAGCTCAAGGCTAGCGCTCTACCACTTGAGCCACAGTGCCACTTCCGGCTTTTTTCTTTTTGCTTATGTGGTGCTGAGGAATGGAACCCAGGGCCTCAGGCATGCAAGGCAAGCGCTCTACCACTGAGCTACCTTCCCAGCCCGAGAGTTATTTTTTTTAGCTCTACCACTGAGCTACCTTCCCAGCCCGAGAGTTATTTGTTTTAGGTGGATATATACATTGAAAAAAATCAGCAGAGAACCTTTAAAGGAAATCTCAGGACATGAGACTTCTTTTACTCAATGGTTATGGTTTATAGTGACTTCCAAAAAGCTCAAGTATAGAGTGATGGTTTATAATTCTTACCACCTTCAAAAGAGTTTAGGAATACTGCATTCTGCTATCTTGAAATACTAGTGAATATGCTGGTATAATATCAGGAAAGGAACAATGATGCCATTTCAAAAAATAAATTTGGAACTTTAAGCAGATACACTTAGTAAATGTTTACTAAATATTATAATATCCATGTAAACTTTAATGAATTCAGATAGTGAAAGTTATAATTTTACAAAAAAATCCATCATAAATAATACATTTATGGAATTACAGGCTTATGTGATTAGTTACTTTGGAAGTAATAAATGCTATACCAGTCCCTCAGATCTACAGATGGTTGGACTCATAAATTTAAGTAAAACAGTATTTGGTAACAAAGGACTTTTTATTCCATATATATGTGTGTGTGTATATATATATGTATATATATATATATATACATATATATATACACACACACATACAATATGTAGCTAAAAAGGTATCCTATTTTTCCAAAGATATAGTAGGAATCATAAATTAGAAACTGTTTATATTTGAAATAACATGAAAATGTTGGAGTATAATTGAGCTGTGGTTTTCATGTATGTTTCTTTTTCATCAAATCCTTAACTTGGTATTAGATATCAGTAGCTGATCTCCCAGGTTTGATAGAAGGAGCACATAAGAACAAAGGAATGGGCCACAAATTCCTCAAGCATATAGAGAGAACAAGACAACTACTCTTTGTTGTAAGTCATATGTGTACTAGTGTGATATTCAAATGAATGGACCTAGTTTTCCCAGGAATGTTTTATAAGTGTGATTTAAAGACAAAATACTCTTATGTTACCTCATTTTTTCATCAGTAATGAACGGCATATATCTTATGTTGATGCAATAAGATTTAATTGCATTGTGCCATAGCTATTCTCAGATGTTCACTCACTGATCAAAATCACTTTATAATGCATTTCTCAGTATAATATCCCCATCATTAACTCTGACTATAGTAGTATAATTTCACTTTCTAAGTCTGTTTATAGGGGAACAAGTATGGCAGGTAATCAGTAGTCATGGGGATGGAAATGTCAGTATTACTGCATTTAGTTTGGTCGTGCTTGTCAAGATTTAATTCCTTAAGATTTCTGGCATACTATTATGTTATTTAGTCTCTTTAGTCTTTTCTCTTTTATTGATATTGCTTGAGTTATATATGAGATTGTCTATATTATTAAAAATTGACTTCTATATACTAGATTCTCATTAAGTAATACTAAGTAATATTAAGTAATATTATGAAAATTCATCATGAACAACACATTTATGGGATTACAGGCTTATATTATTAGTAATTTGAAAGTAATTTAGTAATCTTGACACCTCGGTTTCTGTTACTTGTTTTTAATTGTGAAAATTTAGTAGATTGTAGTTTGAGAAATTGTTTTAGCTTGAAAGAATACTTCCTATCAATATATAGAAATATATAACCATTTTTATGTTAAAGACTGTCTCTTCTCTTTTTTAGGTTGATGTTTCTGGATTTCAGCTTTCTTCCCAAACTCAGTACAGAACTGCCTTTGAAACTGTAATGCTACTTACAAAAGTAGGTCCTTTGTTTTTTTGAGTTTTATATCTAACATTGTAAGGTCCGCTCCTGAATGGCAAGCAGACTCCACCCTCTTCACAGCAAAGTCTCCACCCAGTACCTGCATTACCTAGGCAACTGGCACACCTGGAAGAGGTCGCATCCGATCAGGTCACATCTGGATTCAATGTGGCCACACCTTCCCCCCTTCCACACACCCCCCCCCCCCCCAGATAAGGCCTAGCTCAGGCCCAGATGCTCTCTTTCCCAGGTCTTTCCCTGGCCTTTCCCATCCGCTTGGAGGGTCAACATGGCCTGGTGCCAGCCAGAACAATAAATAAACCTCCCCCTTACCTGAATACCACGTGCGTGGTGTGGTTTTTACTCGGTTACCTCTTTTTAAAAACCTAACATCCTTTACGTAACATTGTAATTCACCTTTTTAAGATTTTTATATCCTTAAATATTTTTAAATCTCAATTATAATTTTTTAGCTGATTTAAGGTTGATGTCTGATTCTTCAGCATTCACTGCTTCTCAAAGTATTGAAATAGATAAAAATTTCCCAACTTCCAAATCCATTACTTTGTATATTTTATCTTGCGTCAATTTTGACATGTGTATTTCTTCTTGAAACATTCTTCATTTTTGGCTTGATGAACCTTAGATACTTTTCCTACTTTCTAGACTGTTTCTTAGTCTACTTTTTGCTCATCTGGCTTGGGAAATGCAGTCTTCTTAATCTTAGTCTGCTCACTGATGGAGCCACTGTGCCTGCTCTCAGTCTACATTTCAGTCTCTTTTCTGATTCTCTTCTTATTTGTTGTCTTCTTTTTTCTTTTCTTAGATTTGATTTCTTTTGTAGTATTGAGTTCACTCAGGGCTTTCCTGCAAGGCAGGAGCTCTTCCCCTTGCACCTTACTCCATCCCTTTCTCTGCTTTAGTTTTTATTTTGAATTTAAAAAATAACTTTTTGCCCAGCTAGCCTGGACCATAATCCTCCTATTTATGTTTCCCAGTTACCTGAGATGACACCCAACTTTTTATTGGTTGAGATAGAATCTTGTAAACTTTTGCCTGGGTTAACCTTAGACCACAGTTTTCCCAATCTCTACCTCCCAGGTAGTTTGGATTAATTACATGCATAAGCCATTGTGTCCAGCGTCCACTTATCCTTTAAATAATATTTAAATTTCTGTCCTAGCTATTGTACAGTCCTACCAATTCTCATTTCTCAGTTACAATGAATATATATATATAAATGAATATATATTCAGTTACAAGATTCCAGATCTATATGTGACAACCTTTTGATTGTGCTTTGATACTTATTAGACATCTTTAATTGGATGTGTTATTAATATGCTTAGAATTAAACAAAAAAATTTCTTTACCTCCCTCTAGAATTTTCATTTAGTATGTAGCTAAAAATCTGGAAGGTATTCTTGATTCTGTTTTCTCACCATATGCATGAATCACTGTCAGTTGTATTTTCTGAATCTCTAAAAGCTATCTATACTTGTAATCATTATGCTCTCTCATATCATATCTGTCCCTGTCTGTTCTCCTTGCTTCCAGTTTTGCTTCTCTCCAGTCCATTTTTTCTGACAATACAAAGAATGGTCTTTGTAAAAGAGCCAAGCTCCTCTTTGTTCTGTTCAAAACAGAATTAAAGTTTAACCTGACCATGGTCAGTGAGGTCTAGCAAATTTGGTTCCCTGCTTAGTAGCTCTTCTTCCCCTCCCCTACCTTTTTTTCTGCATTTTCTGCATTCTGTATTTTTCTGCACAGTATGAGGTTTCTGACCTTCAGAAGTGTGTAAGTCTTATTTGTTTTATCTGTAATGGATAATGGTGTGAATATTTATGTAGAGATTTTTGTGAAGACATAATGTTTTCATTTCTTTTAAATATATACCTAGAAGTAAAACTGCTGGTTCTCTGTTAACTTGGTTCATATTTTGAGGAACTATCTAACTGCTTCCACATTGACTCAACCAGCAACGCTTGAGGGTTTCAATATTATATACCAATGTGAATGCTAGTTGTCTGATGTTTTTATTTTAATCATCTTGTTGGAATGCAGTATTATTTGATCTTTATTTGTATATTGCTTGTGATTGATATTGAGCATATTTTCATGTGTTTATAGCAATTTGTATGTCTTTAAAGAAATGTTTATTCAGATTGTGTTTGCATGTGTAAACTAAATACATAAAAGTTATATCCATCTAAGTTGTACTATATGTTTTGATACATGTATACATGAAATGTTTAAATCAGTTCAAACATACTTATTTCAAACATTTTTTCTTTATAGTAAAAATTTTGAAAGTTCTTTGTTGTATAAGCACACTAAAACTTTTCCCAATTTGAATTATAATTTATTATCCATTGATCAGCACCCCTTACTTTGATTCTGTCCCCTTCCTTATACTACCCAAACCTCCAGTATCCACCATTCTACTCTCAACTTCTTTGAGTTCAACTCTTTTAGATTGCATATGAGTAAATCATGTTGTATTTGTATTTTCTTGGCATGTTTCATTTACAAAATGCTCTCCAGTTTCATCTGTTGCTGCAATTGTCATAATTTTATTCTTTCTTATTGCTGAGTAGTTTTCTACTGTACATGTACTGTGTATTCTTTTCCCTTTCTTTTTTTTTTAACCAGTCCTGGGGCTTGAGCTCCAGGCCAAGATCCTAGTAGCTAGGATTACAGGCATGAGCTACTGATGGCCAACTTTACTGTGCTTTTCTGTGTGTAAATCCAAAGAAAATGAAATAAGTACACTGAAGAAACAAAAAAAATACATACATACATGTTCATTTTAACTCTATTCATAATTGTCAAGAAATAAAAATAATATAAATGTCCACTAACTGAATGGAATAAAAAAAATACAGAGTAAATGGCCAGGCACTGTTGGCTCACACCTGTAATCCCAGCTACACAACTTTACTGTGCTTTTCTGTGTGTATGTATGTGTATGTGTTTGCTGGTCCTTGGGCTTGAACTCTGGGCCTGGGCACTATCCCTGAGCTTCTTTTGCTTAAGGTGAGCACTCTACCACTTGAGCCAAAATATCACTTATGGCTTTTTTGAATAGTTTATTGAAGATAGGAGTCTCATAGACTTTCCTGCCTGGACTGACTTTGAACCACAATCCTCTGATCTCAGCCTTCAGAGTAGCTGGGATTACAGGTGTGAGCCAACAGTGCCTGGCCATTTACTCTGTATTTTTTTTATTCCATTCAGTTAGTGGACATTTATATTATTTTTATTTCTTGACAATTATGAATAGAGTTATAATGAACATGTATGTATGTATTTTTTTTTTGTTTCTTCAGTGTACTTATTTCATTTTCTTTGGATTTACACACAGTAGGGTAATTGCTGGATCTTACAGTAGTTCTATTTATAAATTTTTGAGTAACCTCCACAGTTTTCTATAAGAATATACATTTGCACTAATAGTGTATAAGGATTTTGTTGTTATTGTGTTGGAAGTTCTAGGTCTTGAATCAGGAACTGGGCACTATCCCTGCTTTTTGCTCAAGGCTAGCACTGTACCACTTGAGCCAGAGCTTCCACTTCCAGATTTTTGGTGGTTAATTGTAGATAAGAGTCTTCAACTTTTATGCCCAGGGCCGGCTTTGAATTGTGATCCTCAGAGTTCAGCCTCATGTGTAGCACTCGGCTGGATTTCTTTCTTTATACCCTTGAGAACATTGGTCACTGTTTGCCTTTTCTAGAATAGCCATCTAAATTGATAACATTTTTCTCTTTTTTGTTTTGGCATTACTGGGAAATTGAACCCTGTGCCTCATGCATACTAGACAAGCATTCTCAAATCATTACTTTAGTCCTTTTGTTTATATTGTTTTTGACACAAGATTTCAAAGACTGTCTACCTTTGCCTTGGCTGACCTTGTATTAATAATCTTCCCTTCTCCTGAGTAGCTAAGATTACAAACATGCTTTATCATGCTAGGCTATATGAAATCTTATTGGGGTTTATTTACATTTTCCTGCCTATTGTTGTTGAGCAGAGAAGAAAGCTGTTTTTAAATTCTGACCAAGACTTATTTATCTACCTTGTCAAAATTTTCTTCCTTTTTTTTTTTTGGCTTGTGATTTTGGATTATGTCTAAGAAAGTTGCTAAGTTCATGATTATAAAGATTTTAGTACATGAGTTTTTTTTCTCCAAGGTTATTGTTTTTGACAACTTTTTAATGAAATCCAGATATCTGTATTTGGCTCCATACATAAATCAACTGTTTCTAGGTAGTCAAGTGGGCTAACATTATTCAAATGACTTAACCAGAAGTATTTTCTGAAGCTCCTTTGTTAGTTCTGTGGTTGTTGAGACTTACTGCATTTTAGTGCAAAGAATGAGCTCTCTAGATCTTTCCATGTCTGGTTTTTCTTCTTTTTATTTAAAGGAGTTGGAGTTGTACAAAGAAGAACTTCATGCAAAACCTGCACTCCTGGTCATTAATAAAATGGATTTGCCAGATGCCCAAGATAAATTTCATGAACTGATGTACCAACTCCAGAATCCTAAAGGTAAATCCCTCAATAATGTAATCCCAGTTTAATGAGCACTAACCATGTTAATGTTAAGTATTTCTAATCACTGGAAAAGAAATCTAATTGTTTCTGCTCTTAAAATCTGTGTGTGTGGGCTGGGAAGGTGGCTCAGTGGTAGAGCGCTTGCCTTGCATGCCTGAGGCTCTGGGTTCGATTCCCCAGCACCACATAAGCAAAAAGAAAAAAAGCCGGAAGTGGCGCTGTGGCTCAAGTGGTAGAGTGTTAGCCTTGAGCTGAAGAGCTGAGGGACAGTGCCCAGGCCCAGAGTTCAGGCCCCATGACTGGACCCCCCCCCTCGCCCCCACCCAAAAAAATAAATCTGTGTGTGTTTGAAGAAAACAACATATGCCATATAAAACATTATTACCAAATTCCAAAATATGTGTTATGGACTGTAAGCCTAAATGAGACACAAGAAAAGAAAGATTAATTTGATGTGAAATGGTTTGGCTTCATGAAGAAGCTCAACTGGAACTGGGTTCTTAAAGAGTATCTGTGACTTAGATAAAAGTTGGGGAAAGTCAGCATCTGTGAAGTCTTTCACTTTAACATACTTTACAAACTCTAGAATTTCAGTCCCCTAGTACACTAAGATAACAGGTATGAGCCACCAGCACTTTGCTTGAAAACATCTTTTTAAAGAGAAGTTTTTTAGTTCTTTGGGTATGTGTGACACAGAACATTATATTCTATCACTAGTGACCATTAGAGAATACCTCTATCTTATGGTGATGGTGCTTCAGTTTACTGAGTATAATTCAGAACCTCATGTACAAGTAAGGAAAAGTATAAATAGTACTAGCTTCTCTTTTTATTGGTGGAGTAATAATTGGGGAAAATAGCTTATAGTGTACTTATAGAAGACAATACCAGAAGGTCCTTTGTCTCTGGAAATCTTTGCTCTAAGTAATTGCTTGTGCCAGAGCTATCCTTGAATTAATAAGTCATTCTTATGATCTACGTCTTCATTAATACTGTTCATAGTTTTCATTCCTTTATACCCTTTGCTTTATGAGTCATTAGTTCTGTTTGGTAGTTATTTTTTGTGAAGAAGAGTATTTTTAGAGGTGGTATCAGAAGTGAGGGCAATCCAAGAGTTTGTAACTATTTGGGACCAACCAATTTAATTCTTGAGTTAACTTCTTCAGACTTTTTTGGTTTCTTAGAAACCAAGCTCAGCTTGTCTAATTTATCTAGATTTTCTGGTTTATATCATTGTTAATCCAGTGACCTTGCTCTCCCCTTTCCCATTACTGTGGGCAGAGAAAAGTTAAAAAAAAGTGTAATATTTATTATTACACTGAGAATAGTAGATTGTGCCCATTTGAAGTGATATTCCTTGGACTATTCCTGCTCCCTTTTCAATTTTAAGTATGTTCATCTTGGCATCAATGATGATAAGCCTATACTTTGGGAACTAGACCAAAGACAACGTTTCAAACTATAAATGACGTTATTTTTATGAGAAACTTCTTTCGGAGTAGCTGTGTTATTGACAGATACTTTATCGAACTCCCTCAAAAAGCAAAATTTATCAATTTCTGTAAGTACATCATCTGATTCAACTTGTATTTATTTTCAGTTTGTTTTAAAACATACTCATCCAAAATAAATAAATAAAATATATTCAGCCAATACTTATTAAGAACTTACTGCATGCCAAGTACCTTACCATTGTTATTACTAAAATTCAGAGGTTGTTGGAGCTTATTAAAGAAGGAAAAAAGGAAATTTAAAATGTTAGTTTTGGATTCCCTGCTTTATAAATCAAAACTCTAATACCAGCATCGTCTTGTCTTCCTTTCATGCACAGTGGAAATCTTCTTTACTTTTTTTTTTATTTCAGATTTCTTGCATCTATTTGAAAAAGAAATGATTCCAGAAAAGATTGTAGAGTTCCAACATGTCATCCCCATCTCTGCAATTACAGGAGAAGGAATTGAAGAATTAAAGAGTTGTATAAGGAAATCACTAGATGAACACACCAACCAAGAAAACGAAGCATATCATGAGAAACAGTTGCTTAATTTAAGAACTCTCAATACAGTCATTTAGTAGGCTGCCATTAAAACATGCTTTTACAAGTTCCAGAAAGGGTATTATTTAAATCTAGTAAAAAAGAGAATACTGTCTGGTCCTAAGAAAGAAATTCTGTTATTTTTAACAATATGGATGAACCTGGTATACATTGTGTTTAGTGATAAACCAAGCACAGGAAGATAAATACCACATGATTTAACTTCTATGAAGAATCTGAAAAGTTTGAACTGATAAAAACATTAGAATGATGGGTAGCAGAGACAGGGAGATGGGTTGGCAAGATATTAGTTTAAAAGGTAAAGGGTTTCAGTTATTTTGAATAAGTTATGTGGTACAGCATGCTATTTATAGTTACAACATCGTATCATATTTTGAAAGTTGGTAAGAAAGTTTTCTTACCACAAAAAAGAAATACCTAGGGACATGTGTATGTTAATTAGCTTGATTGAGCCATTCCAACAGTGTATACATACTTTACTTCAAAATGCCATGCTTAATATGATAAACATATATACTATTTGTGTGTTAATTAAAGATGGCATTGAAATTATATTAATTTGAAAGTTTTACACACTTTAGTATTATTACTAATGTTATATATGTCATCATTCAAGAACTATTGTGTGTGTATGTGTGTTTTTAATGATACTAGAGTTTGAATTCAAGGCCTTGTACTTGGTAGGCCTAAGTCACATGGCAGACCTAGTAAACGCTACTGCTTTTTAAATTATTCGTTATTGCTTTATAATGGAGTATATTAAAAGTAGAAATGCAACTAAGAACTAAAAATTACATTTATAATCCTATAACAACACCCTTTGATATTATGATGTTCCTACTGAGATCATTATTTTAAAATTATGTAAGAGGTTTCCCTAGATTATCATCAGAATGAGCCACTAAGGTTTGCTTTTGGGTCTGTCATGTCCCTGGTTGCGCAAAATGTATAACAGTTCTATTTTGTGAAGCATCTCAAATCCCTACATTTGAACACAATATTCAGTAACAATACAGATCACTGATAATACTTCAGAGAAACCAGCAAGCATTGTCTGTGATTTGAGCTCTGGAAAAAATTTTCTTTTTTATGTATCCTAAGAATTTTATTTTTCAACTTTAGAGGAGACTGATGTATATGTCACAGTTTCTTATTTCCTATTATGTTTCATTTTCCACTTTTATATTTATTAAAGAGAAATAATAGACATGATGACGTTACATAGTGTGAAACATCAGTATATTTGGGAGAGTTCAGAATTTATAAATTTCTGCCTGGGTATATAAAAATAATCACAAATAGGATTTTTTCCTATTTTTTTGGTAAAATGTACATATTAATTGTAAAAAAAATTCAAACAGTAGATAAAACGTATGGGAAAAAATATTTTCTTCTTTCTACATGAAGTCCCTAAGTCCTTCCCAGAAAAAGTATTGTTAACAGTTTATGTTCTTGCAGAAAATTTTAATGTATGTATTTTGAACCCAACAAGAGTTAATTTATAAAGTTTCATGTTTTTTGTCTTTATTTTACAAAGTATCAAGTTGATGAGTTGTATTAGAAGTTATTTTGAAATTTAATACGTAATAGTGATTATGGCTATTCATTCTTGTGTACAGTGCAAATGTCATATTTTGGCCTTAAGGTTCTCCTGATTTGGCAATGTGGCTGGCTTTTTAAAAGTATTAGCACACTTTTGTTTTCTGTTTTCCTTTCCAGTCTCCCGTTCTAGTCTGAGACTATCCTTTCTTGTTCATATCTTGCTTTCCAGACCCTGTGTAGGATGTTCTTTATGCATTGTTGAAAAGAGCAGGAAGACCAGCTGCCATTTTGGAGCTCACATTCCATAGCAGAAACCACAGAGAACTGCAATAACCTACTCCTACTTTATATCATAAACTAAGAGTGGAGAAAAACATTTGGAACATACACTGATCACTGTGACCATATTTTATACTAGGTATGTTCCACATTTGCAGCTTCAATGTCTTTTAGTTTCAGATTGCCTGAATGTAAACAAGTAGTGATATAAGGACAGTTTTGTGAGATGATTGTCAAACATTCTGACATTGTAATCTTAATTTGTCCTACCACATAGTAATATTGACACTTCAGAGGATTCTGCTTCATCATCACAAATTGATGATCACAACTTTTCATAATTTGTTATATATTTGTTATATTACCATTTTCTGGTTGTTGAAAGTATACTCTATATATACTATATATTTTTCTGATCATTATTTGTATTCTAAACAAAAGATGGGAATTTCAGATTCTTTTTTGTTGTCTTTGATAAATATTTAGGACCAAGCCGGGTACCAGTGGCTCATGCCTGTAATCCTAGCTACCAAGGAGGCTGAGATCTGAGGATCACAATTACAAGCCAGCCCTGGCAGGAAAGTCTGTCAACCCTTATCTCTAATAAAACTACTCAGAAAAGGCCAGAAGTGGCACTGTGTCTTAGGACAGAGCACTAACTTTGAGCACAAAGAGGCCCAAGGACAGTGCCCAGGCCTGGAGTTCAAGCCCTAGGACTGGTGAAAAAAAAGGAAGAAAGAAAAGGAAAGAAAGAAAGAATGAAAGAAAGGAAGGAAGGAAGAAAGAAATAGGACCAGATGTGTAGCTAGCTCAGTGGTAGAGCACTTGCAGCACATACAACACCATGGGTTCTACCCCAGCGTTCCCTACAACACACTCTATTTAACTTTAGACACTTACTTCAATGTAATGTTTTAACATTGCATATGCATTTTTTTCTTCATGCAAGTCTTTTTACCTTTCAAAATAAGTTTTTCAAAATACATGCTATATGGAATATTTATAGCATTTAATAACCAGACCATCAATATGCTGTGTACAACACATTTTTACTAAGTTCCAGTTGTTATTGTAAAGCTTGCCATGTATAAAGCTTTACAGTGAAATACAAGTTTATACTATCAGATACTTATTTGTCCAGTAACATTGCAATATGAAGTTCCATATAATTTTACCTAAAATATGCAAATTTCAGGATATCTGTTATATTGTGCTGTTGTGATATGCAGTTGTGTTTTACTATAACAACAGAGATTAAGACCTGAGAAATGTATCCTATGATGTCATGATTGTACACACATAGAATAAGTATACTTGTATAGCCTATAATAGCTAACCTATCACTGGGTGATAGTCTAGGGTTACCACTGTGTAATCAGCCCTTGACTGAAACCTTATACATGATTGTATAATGTCTTACTATTTATCACAGCAAGATAATTTTTTTCTTTTAAATGATTAACATGTACTACATACATCAGGAGAAAAGCCTGTTTTTGTAATTTAAAAAAAGGTCAAAGGTATTTTATTTCAAGATTTTTCTGATTCATTTTCATGTGTTTCTTTTGAGCTCAGTTGTTTGGCTCTGCAAAGATAATCAGAGGTTCCTTTGAGGTAATTAATGAAATCTACAAGTTTTTTTTTCCTTGCCAAAAATGTGCATATGCACACGAAGTATTTTCTAAGCAGCTTCATAGGTTCTGAAAAATCTTCAAATTAAATCCAGTTAACGCAATTTAGTTAAGTTTCACCCATAAGTCTAAAATGTAATGAAGGTACAATAAAAATGCTTCAGGGTCCAGAAATGTGGGTCAGTGGTAGAATGCTTTGATTACCAGCACTGAAGGAAAAACAAATCAGTAACAATAATGAGTCAAAGAAATATTTAAATACACTCACAAACTAGACGTTGATAAAGAAAAATATGTAATAATTTAAATACACAAAAGATAATTTGGTATAGAAATTTTGTTTACGAACAAATGGAATATTATGTATATTCTAAAATGCTTAAGAATATGTGAAATTTGTTTTAAATCTAGCCTTATAAAATAGGTAAATGGAAGGAATCCAGAGTTTTAGACTGAGTACATAGGTTGTGCTGGTGATCCAGATAATTTAAAATGTTGATATTGCCATAGGCTTTGCTGATGTGTTAAATACATGTCATGCATTAATTTATTTAAATAACTATAGTATATTGCCTTCTGATCATTTGTTATTTTTTTAAGTCCAGTAGGGCATACAAGAATCTTTTTAAAGAAAACCTTTCGAGAGTCTAAAATATTTTATTACTTGTATAGCCATTTAAAAACATACTCTGCTTTACAAAATTTTGTAACTTGGCAATTAAGCCATAAATAAGTGTAGTTGGAAAAAAGTGTTGGCAGACATTTTACAAACATAATTTTTACTTCAAAGTTAGTAATGAAAAATAAACATCTACCTTTTTTGTCTTAAAGGCATACATGTCTTATTTTTTGTTTTTGTTTGGAGTGTGGCTAGTAGAAGGAAAGTATTAGTGCAACATTTTTTCTTTGAGTGTCACTAACTAGCTGAAAGAAAATAAAACCAAGTAGTTAATAGAAATGATGAAAAAAGAAGAGAGGTAATTTGAATGTTGGAAAGTTGTATGTCCCTGGGTCATTCAGGGTAATAGATTGGGTCATTGTTTCAGTTGGTTATTGCAAGCATAAAAGGCCAAGGGTAATTTTAGCTACCATTTCTAATCATAACTGCCCAATAATCTTGGTAATTCTAATTAAAAATTATTTTTGCCATATGTCAGTTGCTTAATTAACAGTTGTTGGGTACTTGGGAGACTCCAGCGGCAGTAATCACCTTAGTGTGTATAATTAAGTGTTTATAATAAAGGTTAAATCCTGCAGAATGCCTAGTTACCAAGCTATGTGAAGCATAGCAGTCAGCTGAATCATGTCCTTGGAAATACTTGGAATTTGAAGAACAGGATATGCAGTTTATTTTGTAACTAATTTTGGAGCAATATATGACAAAGTAATTTTTCATATTGTAAACACTGAGTGCATTCAAAGTTGAAAGGACAAAAGCTTCTTATATTCATGGCCCATATTCAAGTGTATTTTCCCAAAATTGCCAATATCTTCTGACAAATGACTATTTTTCATTGGTTATCAAACATAATTGGTATCATCTCTGTATAAAGAGCTTTAAGAAGAATGTGGTTAAAAAAAAGAATGTGGTATAATTTTCTGATATTAAGAAATAGGACATAATTATGCAGCTAAAATATAACTTTATTTACATATGATTTGCTACAAATTGAGGGTTATGAGGAATATTTCAAATTAAGGACAAATATTGAGTAAAAGCTTTTGACTGGATAGATTTGAAGCATAGTTAATAATGGTAAATAAAAGCTCTTGGTCAACTGACTCATTGTTGGGGAAATAAGAGTACTATATAATAGTAATTGAGTCTTAGTTTCATGACAAATCTTTCCAGGAAGATGTACCGTTTGGGATCAAGAGAAATGGTGAGAACAATACAATGAGTAATATAAAAATGTGAACCAGAAAAACTTATTTTTCGAAGAACCATTCATGTTAAAAAGCCAAGTTCAAAACAGATTGTTTCAAAGTTTGTTATTGTTTCTAAACTGTAAGGAGAAAAGCCTAATGATAGTTGTAGTCATAGTTCAAACAAAAGTCTAAAATATTTGAAAGTCTTCATTTGTCTTACAGTAAATTCTATATTTTTCTTTCCTCTTTACTATTATGTTTACTGAAGATTAGAAACAAATTGACTGTCATCTTACCTATTGCCTGATACACTGCCAATAGTTTCTTTACCATTTTGAAACCAGGTGCTCTTATTTATTGGAAATCATTACAGGAAGCGTTTCCCTCTTGCCCTTAGTTCTTTTATTCTCTTCGTTTGCTTTAATTGAGGCATAGTCTCACATTATTGTTTGAGACTGGTCTCAAACTCTTGGGCTCCTTCTGTTCCAGCCTGCTGAATAGCTGAGACAGTGTGTCACCATTCCCAGTTCTACCTGACAGTTGCTTAACTTCTGTTTTCTTCCTTTATTCATAGGGCTGCTATAACAAAATACCACAAACTGGGTGGTTTAGATAAAACAAAAATCGTCTGTGGAGCCTAGAAGTCTAAGATAAAGGCATCAGTGGGACTGGGTACTTCTTAAGGCTGTGCAAGGATCCTGTTCTATGTGTGTATTCTAGTTTTTGATGGTTTGCTGACAGTATTTGGCAGTCTTTGGTTTGTAGCTATACCACCCCAATCTCTTGTCTTCATTTTCATGTAGTGTTCTTGTGTGGATCTGTCTTCACATTTCTTTTTGTTCATCTCTTTTCTTCACATTTCGTTTTGTTAGGACACCAGTCATTGGATGAAAGCCTGTGCTAATGACCTCACTTGATTACCTCTGTAATTACGTTAACGCTAAATTAGGGTGTACTCTGAGGTTGCTGGGGTTAGGTATATATCTTTTCTTGTTTTTATTTTGAATTCCTTTCAAAGAGGATTTGTTAGAATAATCACCCGTAAATTCTTAAGCTTCAATACTTGTTAATATTTGCAGCATTTTCTGTATCTTTCTGTGAGGGTATATGTGTGTTAATATAATTTAGAAAACGACATTTTAGCAGTTGTCGTTTCTTTTTTAATGTCAGTGCCGTATAGGAATAGTTCAATTCAAATACTCAGCTACAGAACCTCACTTTTAAGAGAAGGAACGAATTATGTGGGTAGGTTAGTTTAAAATCCAACAACGAATGGTGTGTACAGTATATCTCTTACCTTTCAAGGCAACTGTAAATTGCAGTTGTCTTTTTTCCCTAACACTTACAGATCAGCTCAGAGAGGTGCTCAGCCAGAGCCTTTTGCAGACCCAGGTTGCCTGGTTCTAGGATGAGCCTAGCTAAATACTTCTGTGGGAGAGGGGTCTGGATTTAAGATATTTTTTCTAACATATTAGAGCGTTTTCAAGAGCACCCAAATCTAGACGACTATCAGTTTTCTCTGCGTGTGTGTGCGTGTGCGAGCGCGCGTGCGCGTGTTTTAAACCGTTAACCCAAATCTAGACAGTCTTTCAGTGCAAGAGGACTGGTCTGGAGACCTGCAGGGAAGAGTTGGTCCTAGGATGCTCCCGGAGGACGGAGGGGGCGGGACGGTGCATTCTGGGAGTTGTAGTCCCTGACAGCGAGGTATTCCACCTCGAGTCCACGGGAGCGGGATTGCGTTCCCAGAAGCCTCCGGGGCAGCTGCAGCACTGGGAACGCACTTCCGGGGACGCTGAGTGGGAGAAGCTTGGGGCGGCTTCGGGGTGCGGGCGACTCCGGCGCTCCGGCTGTGGGGAGCAGGTACTGGTAGGTGTGGTCAAGACGGATAGGATTTCGGAGTCTTGCTCGAATCGTTGTGGGCCTGGTGTCACGACCCTAAATCAAGAGGAGACACTGAGAAAGGTTGACCACATTTGTGGATGTGAAAATTGTGTGTGTGTGTGTGGGGGGGGGTGTTGATAAAGCTTTCAAATCGCTTGTCCGCAGAGCGGAGTGGGAGCGCCGGAGCGCGTGCTGGGGAAGCCTGGGCTGGGCGCCCGGCCGGCGGTGCCGGGCGGTGCGGTTGTTGAGTTGCTATTTTTGAACGACCAGCTGATTCTGGTTGTGTAATGGTGACCTGCTAGCTGTTCAAACCCACTCCGGGTGGCGGGGACCGGCTTTGCGTCGGGAGCCGCGGCCTTCGTCTGCGCTGTCTTTCCATTGGCTCTGACCGGGAGGGCTCCCGCCCCCCGTCCATTTCAATGGGCTCTGACCCGGAGGGCTCCCGCCCCTCGTCCATTTCCATTGGCTCTACCGGAGGGCTCTCCCGCCTCCATTTCCGCTAGCTGGAGTTCTCCCCCTGGATACCTCTCAGGAGTGGGAGTGGGAGCGGGGACGGTGGAGTGGGTTGCTGGGAAGCTCAGTTGACTTTCTTCTGGCCCAAGGTCTTTGTTTTGTTTGTTGCTGTGTCTCTGTCCGTCCGTCTGTCTGGTCTGTCTGTCCGTGTCCCGAGCGCCATGAAAGGTGCAGTTGTCACGTCGTTGCATCTGAAAAGGACCACATTCCGTAGCTTTCCAAGAAATGGCCTAAGGGGGCCTGTTGTGTGTTATTTGTTATAAAACGGTCTCCTCTTAACTCCGAGACAATGGTGCTTGATAACTACCCAGGAATCATGTGGGAGACTTGATTGAAATCTTGATTCAAAGTTGTACATAAAGATCATAATGGGACCAGTGATAAACACCTTAATACAGGAAACACTCCGGCTTTACAAGTTTTCACTCATCCTACCTGTTTGAGTTAAAAAGCATTTGAAGAGGAAGTTGCTGATTTTAGAGACATGGAATCATCCTTAAGTGGCAGGTTGAGCCATTGGTGGAAACAAAAACTTCAGTTGCATTCTGGTTGCAAATTTTGGAATGTACAATGCAGATCAGTTTTGTCTTGTATGCTTTTAAAAACATTGTTAAGTGTAGTTTACTTACAAGACTATTATATAGTGTTTCCTTATCTTCACTATTCGTTCATTATAGTCATAAGGAACTTTAAAAAATCCATTAAATGTTGATATTTCCAAGAAAGTAAAATTTTTTATTGTAAAAATGTTGTACAGAGGGTTTAGTTACATGAGTAGGGTAGTGAGTACATTTCATAGCGAACATTGTGACCTGCTCAGTAAATAATTTTTATCCTTAATTCTATCTTAAACCACAAAATAAGTTACTTACATATACTAATATATGAATTAAAAATAGACTACTCTGTTTATTTATGTAGTATTGGTAATCAAATCCAGGCCTATACTAGGCAAGTGTTCTACACCTGGATTTCACCCCAGTCTGAAACTGTCTTTTTGAAAAACTTATCTCCTGCATTTTTTTTGGCATAACACTTCGTTGTTTTTAGGTGAGTGTTATTTTTCTAATTGCACTTGAATTCAAATGAGAAGTAACATATTAATGTGAGTACTTTTCCTATTTCTTCAGGCCCAGATTATCTCTACTCTTGTTCATATGTGCATGTCTCTTCTAACTTGACTAAAGCTACTTTAGAACTATAAATACCTCAAAAGGGTAAGTATGTCTATTGGTCATGCCTTATTTCCCTTCCTTCTACTAATGATACTTATTTTCTTTAACAAATTAAAGATTTAAGACATCTACATACAAAACCACAAGAAATAAATCCTCCTGAAAATATTTTTATTCAAAATGATACCTTGTGTAACACTGAATTGTGAAAATCCTTGTGTAACAGGTGAACACTAATGGGAAGTGGCTGTTTTGAAAGTCTTTATAATTCCTCTAAAAACAATGTTCTGCCATTATTGTTATATGATTATAATTATTGTGACAATATTGCTTGTTGACAATCCAGAAAAAATGTTTCTATGTGATAATCTACTGATAATCATTACAGAATTAAATTTCTGTCAACATTCCATATACAAACAACTTTGCTATTGATCATCTCACACTACCTTAAAAGAAGTTTACTGATTAGAAATTTGAAGTTTAAGCCTGGTACCAGTGGTTGGTATCTGTGATCCTAGCTACCTGAGAGGCTGAGAATGGGAGGATTGTAGTTTAAGGCCTGCCAAGGGAGGAAAGTTCATGAGACCCCTTCTCAACTTGTAGCCAGTTGGCCATGGTGATCTGTATCTGTTATCCAAACTATGTAGGAAGCTAAAATTGGTAGGATTATAGTTCCAGGCCATCTCAGGTAGAAAAGGTTGAAATACTCCTATATCAATGAAAGAAGCTGGGCATAGTGGTACATAGCTATCATCCCCACTACTCCTAAAATACCAGCTCTCAGTCTAGCCGCATGCCCTGGTAGGTAGTAACTCCCTATCTCAAAAGTACCAGTACAAAAATGGCTGGAGATGTAAAACCTTGAATTCAAACCCCAATACTGCAAAAAGAAAAAAAAAAGGGGAAGAAGAAGAAAGTAATTTTGTATGTATAGGTGACTTCTTAGTGTGTTCATAATAGTTTATGGCTGATTGCAAGGTGTATCATTGGTCTCCTAGATAACAATACCAACCAGTCTCACAGGTGTAAACAGTAAGCTCACGCATCTGAAGAGTCATCAGCTAGCTAGTGTTCATGAGGGCTTCTCATGTGCTAAACCCCATTCTTAGCCTTGTACATTTCCCATAGTCCCATCAGGACTTTTTCTATATTGAAAGATGTCTTTTCCTTCCATTGCTGTGGAAAGATATATAAATACAAATATAAATTATATAGCTTTAAATTAACGTTAATTTAGTAAATTAATCACCCTTAACAATGAGGAGCATATACCATGGGTAATGCTACACATTAGTTGAAAAACTGAAGAATAATCTCATGTTTATTTTTGGGCTCTTCAATTTGAGGGAGGTCATTTGTCTTCAAACTGCTTTTATATTGTACAAAGAGTCAGACATAATTTGAAAATATATGTACAGTGGCATATACTTTTTGCTAGTAAAATTACTCCTAAGTTATATGAGACTGGAGTAAATATGCAAACAACATGGCTTTCTAAAGAACTTTGTGCCCTCCTAATGGCGCACATATAGAAGCAGGTCCAACTCAGGTTCTTAGTGTTTTAGTCATGGTGGTTTTCTCTGATCTTGACCTCCTGGAAATATTCTACCATCTCTGCCAATTGTATTTGATTCTGCTAGATATGCTGGAACCTATCAATACCTCTAAATTATATCCAGAAATATAAATTATTCTCAGTTTGCCCTCTTTCATTGTGTTCTACAAACTTTTTTTTTTTTTGGGTCTGGTCGTGGGGCCTGAACTCTGGGCCTGGGTGCTGTTCCTCAGCTCTTCAGCTCAAGGTTAGCGCTCTACCACTTGAGCCACAGTGCCACTTCCGGCTTTTTTCCTTTTGCTTATGTGGTGCTGAGGAATTGAACCCAGGGCCTCATGCATGCAAGACAAGCACTCTACCACTGAGCCACCTTTCCAGCCCCTCTTTCATTGTGTTCTGACCACAAAAAGTAAATGTGCTACCTTAAAGTGGTCTTATCTCTTGTGTCATGGTGGCAAATATGTTTGTATAGTGATTTGAGGTGAATTGAATAGTGCTTTGATAAAATTAATGCTGAGTAAGATACCAGTTTTTGTAGTTGGTGGTGCAGGAAAAAACAATACAGTTTTAATTTGCAATAAGAGAAAGATTTGCCTGCTATTTTTCTTACCATAGTTATAATAGAAACAGCTTGCCATTATGTCAGAGGTCTTTGCATTCTTCTTATATGATCAATCATAGTACAATAACTAGAGTCTTACAGATTTCCCCGAAAAGCACTAACTTGGGTCATCTTGAACCAGACAGGAAGTAGTTGAACAGGATGATTTTTAGACATCTTTGTGTTCATTCTTTTACTTATTAACTCTTTGAAGATGAGCCTATTTGCTACTAGTAATTTCTTAGTGTGCTTGATATATAGAAATGAAATTAGTTGGCTTTGCTTATCTAACATTCATTGAACAAGTTGTTGGTCATAATTCTCCAGTTCCTTTCAGGGCCTAACAGAATATATGACATATGTAAAGTACTCAGCACACTCGACATGAATGCTTAGCGATAAATATTTCCTTGTACATTTCTACATTATCAGTGGCTCACCTATGTGAGCTAATACCACTAATACTGTGGTATTAATACCCACTTCCTCAAATTATCCTAGGATGACTTCTGCAAAACCCTGGAAATTACTTTCATATATGGGGAGACAGGTGTATGATGAGAGAGAGAGAGAGAGAGATCCAAGAGGGATATGAGTTTTGTAGCTTGGCATCATTCATAGCCTTTCCCAATGTATATGTTCTCAGATCACACTGTAGTCTCATTGCACTGGGCAGTTCTTTGAGTGCTAAGAAATTGCCTCAGGAAGCATAGCACTAAAGATGTTTTCAGCACTTGACATTATATGAACTCATTGAATCTGTAGGGGCTAGGCATTATTATTTTACATGAGTGACATGAGGCACAGGGAAGTTCTGCATCTGGTCCAAGGTCAGTTGGTTATTAAAGAGGAGTGGGGATGAGAACTCAAGCAGTCTGACTCATGTAGTTCATTACTGCTCTGCTGTCCTGCAGTGCTGTTTTCCTCAGACTTTTGTCTCATAAAGAGCCATATGACTGCTGTGCACTAGTCTTGTTTTACACCTGCATGAACATCTGCAGCTGAATGAATAGTGCTATTTGTAGATTTACATACACATACATATACACTTTGTGTGTGTGTTGAGTGAATATTGGCAACTATGAGCAGTTATTTGTGATTCAACTTTTTGCCTTGTTTGTTGTCCTAATAACTGTGAAAAAATACTGATGGTACAGACGTGAGCTGCTATAAAACACAGACAATGATAACCAGGCAAATATATGTGTACTTGAACTCTGGGCCCATGTACATGTGCTCTTAAAATTTTTCACATTGTATAGAGAAGAAACAAAGGCAAGCCCTATTTGCATTGACATTTCATTAGTAGATGTGTTACCAGTGAGTGTTGCCTTCCTGCTGTGTTCTCTGTTATCCCTTCATGATTTGTCTTCTTGTGTGTCACTCCTAGTTTGACTGACAGTACTACATAAAGCCTGCCTGCCATGGGCTGTCGGGATGTCCATGCAGCCACAGTCCTGTCCTTCTTGTGTGGAATCGCCTCAGTAGCAGGCCTCTTTGCAGGGACTCTGCTTCCAAACTGGAGAAAATTGCGACTGATCACATTCAATAGGAACGAGAAGAACCTGACTGTTTACACAGGTTTGTGGGTAAAATGTGCCCGGTATGATGGAAGCAGCGACTGCTTGATGTATGACACTACTTGGTACTCATCAGTTGACCAGCTGGACCTACGTCTCCTCCAGTTTGCGCTGCCCCTCAGCATCCTGATTGCAATGGGTGCCTTGCTGCTCTGCCTGATTGGAATGTGTAACACAGCCTTCAGATCTTCAGTGCCCAATATCAAGCTGGCCAAGTGTCTGGTCAATAGTGCAGGCTGCCATCTGGTGGCTGGACTGCTGTTTTTTCTGGCAGGTACTGTGAGCCTTTCTCCATCCATCTGGGTCATCTTTTACAATATCCATCTGAACAAGAAGTTTGAGCCCGTTTTTACATTCGACTATGCAGTGTATGTTACTATTGCGAGTGCAGGGGGTCTGTTTATGACTGCACTTCTGCTGTGTATTTGGTATTGTGCATGCAAATCTTTGCCTTCTCCTTTCTGGCAGCCACTGTACTCCCATCCTCCCAGTATGCACACTTACTCACAGCCCTATTCAGCACGTTCCCGCCTATCCGCCATTGAAATTGACATTCCAGTAGTTTCACACACTACTTAATCGGAATGTAATTAGCTGTTTAAATTTTTTCTTGTAGCTTTCCATTTTCCCTGTGTAAAGAGCCTTTTTGGGCTAGAATAATTTTTCTTTGTTTGTTTGTGACTAGTCACTAGAGCCAAATTAGTATGTCCTGATAAAAGGAAGTGCTGCTAGTTTTTATGAGGTGTAAATTAATTATTTTAAATGTGAAACATTCCTTTTATATTGCTTCTTATACCAGAAGGAATTTTAACGTCCTTACTGATTATCTGATCAGTTGAAGTGGAAAGGGTCTATGTTGCAGTTGGTGATTTGAAACAACATGCTAAAGAATGATCGGTAAGAGAAGCCATTGTGTACAGTGTGAATACTCACATTGTGGATTGTCCTTTTTCTGTAAGACCTTGGACTAGAAAAAGAAATACAATTCCAAATGTAACTATTTCCTTTCAGATAAGGTAATATTTCGATAATAATCTACCAGTTACAGCTGTAACTTCTCTCGGGGCTAATCTTATTGAATAGGCTTCAGTATGTTAAAGATTACTTAACTGTTGTGAGTTCTTTATCTTCTACCTCATGCCAGTTGTTTAAAAGTAAAAATGCATTTTAAGTAATCTCAGAATAAGACTAAAAATTTAAATATCTATTAGTTATTGTTAACACTTAACACTTTTTAAAGCTAGTGAATTTATAAATTACATTGCTGTATTAAAACGTACCATGTGACAGGTTGGTGCTTCCTCAGGGGCAGAAAATCCTTTTTGCCAGATACTATCCATTAAATCTAACTCATGTGCATATACAGTCTTTTAGTGGCTAGGAGAAATTGATGAAAGGTTGTTCAAACATAATAGGTCATTCTCTTAGATATATGTGGTAGAGATTCACTAAGTTGACTGAGTAATAATAGGTGAAATAGGGGATAGATTTACCATGACCACATTTACCTTCAATTCAATCCTGCCCCCCATCCTTGATTATATCCTTGAATATATATCTCTGCCTAACACTTTAGTAGATGCTTCAGAGGATTTATGAAACGAAGGAGATCTGGTCCTCTCCATGAAGAAATTTTAATCTATAGAAGACCAAACTGATAACTGACAATTAGGGAAAAATCTGACTTCATGGGCAGCTGGCCTTCTCAGTCATTGATTTATGAATATACTTCATGACTTCCTGACAGACAGGCCTGTTGTACAATACCAGCAATATCGTAGATCTTAGAAAATCACTTCAGTCTATTGGATCCTTAGGGCATCTACTTTAGCTTACATGTTATAACAATACTATGTCAGATTCATGAGAATGGGCAAAAGTGGTAGATAAATTATACCCTTTCCACCTCTAAAAGTATAGTATATTAAGGGTTGATGACTTTAAAAATCTGAAGCTGGGCTTGGTGGCGCATGTGTGCACACACGTGTGTGTGTGTGTGTGTGTGTGTGTGTGTGTGTGTATTGTGTATGTGTGAATACTCAGGAGACTGAAGCAGGAGCATTATGAGTCCTAGGGCTAGATGGTTAGACCTTGTCTTTAAAAAAGGCGGGGGGCCGGGCGCTGGTGGCTCACGCCTGTAATCCTAGCTACTCAGGAGGCTGAGATCTGAGGATCGCGGTTCAAAGCCAGCCCGGGCAGGAGAGACCGTGAGACTCCTATCTCCAATAAACCACTAGAAAACCGGAAGTGGCGCTGTAGCTCAAGTGGTAGAGCGCTCGCCTTGAGCTGAAGAGCTGAGGGACAGCGCCCAGGCCCAGAGTTCAAGTCCCACAACCGACAAAAAAAAAAAAAAAAAAAAGGCGGGGGGCGGGGGGCGAAGAAACCTCTCTTCATGTAGTATCAATGAAATGAAGCTGTGTTAACACTGAGATAACTCTTAGAAATTCAGGGACATTAGAAACTTACAGATTTTAGCTCATTATTTATTTGGTATAATTTGCCATATACATATTAGCATTATGATCTAAAGATTGTTTTATTAACTATTACAAACGTCACAAACAGCTAGTTGTATGGTAAACCTATTATTGCTCTTTTGCAAACTTGAGTATGATCCTGGTGTTTCTATAAATACATGGACTTTTTCTATTTCTAATAGTACTTTATGTGTATAGCAACTATTTCCACATGTATAATTTTTAGATGTCATCAACAATAGCATGCAAGGCTATAATTTTTAAATTATAGGTTCTGATTTCTTTCCAGTTTCTGATTCTTTGCATTCTTGTCAGATATAGCAGAGTCATGGTCATCCCAAAACAATAGCAAGTGGTATGTAGATATGAATATTGATTTCCACCTTTGCTAATTAATTCAGTAACTGTTGTCACTAAACTTTGGTCCAGAAGAATCAAGAATGCCACCATCTCTTGTTCTTTTGTATAAACAGTGTTAAAGAAATAGACTCTGCCACTATGACATTAGACAATTTTTAGTTCATGGGGTTATAGATACGAAGCTTTCATTTGAGAATATTTGGTTACGTGGTATAGCCTCAAATTGATATTTATTAAAGATTCACTTGGGAAAAGATTTGCTATCATTAGCTGTTTTTTAAACCATCAAAGGAAAGCATTACCATTGTTTTTTAAGATGCCATTTGAATACTTACCAGGCTGTCATTATGATGGAGAGTTAACTTTTTTGTTGTTTTCATTAAGAGCCTATTAATGTTAAAGGACTTCTACAGAAGTGGGAAAACAAACTTGGAAAATGAACTGTAGATGCTTGTGCCTGGATCTGGATCTTGTTTGTCCAGCCATGGAATAAAAACAAGAACCCGAATTGACCTTACTTGTATATATACACAATAATAGATAGTATGTTTGCTGTAAACTGCAAAGTAAAGCCTCAATAAATGTGTACTGTATTTCTTGATGTTTATTAAAAATGTATTTTTACAAGTTCTGCTTCTGTTATTTTGTCAACTTTAAAGTAGAATACTTTGAGAAATGTTTTTCAAACATGTAAATTGAAAAAGACAACCCATTTAAGGCCTTATAGCATAGGAACTGGAACTCAAGTAATTATTCTGAAATATCAAGACCCTTTATCTACTTCTAAGAATAGTTTCTAAGAGGTCACTTGGCTTTTTTGACAGCCTGCAAGACACTGAATAAAGTCTTGTGCCAAATTTGCCTCATCTGCGAACTTGTATAAAGGCCTGTGATGTTGGACATTCTCAGATAAGTAGGGAGAATTTCAAAGCATGAGGGTACCAGAAGTGGCAGGTAGGTTGCTTCAACATTTTCTAAACCTGTGATGAGCTTTTAGTTTGGGATTTGTATTCACTCCTCACTGAAATGATAGTATTGGATATATAATATATACTGTCTAAGATAGCATAATGGGAAAGCCGTGTGTTGTCCTAGAAATCTGAAGTTCAAGCTGGGTATCTGTAGCCAATTAACTCCGGAGCACGACAATCCAGAGTGCCCTGAACATATTTCTTCACTATGGGTGACTGAGTGCAAGAGAATCGTTTTACACTAACCAGATTCACAAGACACTGGTTTACCAACCAGAAGTGAGAATACATATTATTTGCAGTCATTAAGACCAGTTGTTTTAATGCACTTTGCACAGAACTCCTGAGGGAACAATACGATTACAATGTTTGGGCAGGGAATGTACATGATGAGCCCAGCACATCTTGTTCTGCCAGGAAGAAAAGAAATTCTCAAAGAAACATGAAGGCTCTGCAAATTATACAGAAGCCAGCCTGAAGGAGCTACAACTAGGAAAAAAAACATAAAAGACAAAAACCTGGTAAAAGTCTGATGAGAAGTCTCAAAGTACAAAATGGCGTGATTTCAAGGTAACTTTGTAATGGATCAATTTGGCAGATAGCCTTAACATTAAATCCATCACCAATAATGAGATAGAACAATATCAGACTTTGTGTTAGTATGAAGTGATAAGACTCATTGTACTGACAGTGCACAGCCTGCATTTAATCTTAAGGAACATAAACTGGTCCTGTTTTGCTTTTTGCATCCTTTAAGTCCTCTGGCTGTTTCTGCTTTTAAAAGCTCAAAGGTAGCTATGAAATGCTTGATCCAACAGTTGGTACTGGCCCATGAGATCCAACTGTGTAACTTTTCCCAATATGCTAAGCAGTGACATCATGTTAATAGCTTAGAATTGGTATAAGTCACCCTGGAAATTGGTAGATGCTGCGTTAGGGCTTTTCTGCAGTTAAATGTTAAACATTCACCAGCACACTTCTCCAGAAAGAGTAATTTGCTGAGTTGTATGTTAGTTAATGAGGAAATGATGAACCATAGCAAATACTAAGGCTTATAAAACCTGAAATAAAGGGACCATTCAAAATAGTCCCATACCGTATTTCTGTTTCCAGTGTTGCTCACTCTCCCTCTTTACCATGAATCCAAATTGAACACAGAAAATTATGATCCTAATAAAAGACAACCATAGCCTAGTCTCTCATTCTTAATATTCAACAGCTATCCCCTCATGAGTTAAGTATAAGCTCTTGCTTTAATTCCAAGTGAAAGGTCTTGTGTAGTAGGACAAAGTATATCTTTTTCCTGGGGTCAGGAAGAGCAGATTGTATGGCACAGCACAGAAATACAGGTGTAATGTAGAAGGAGACATTTCTCATTGTGTCTAACACTGATCAGACTCTGATTATTGACATTGCCCATATCTCACAAGACTAATGTGAAAAAGTAATTAACATTCAATAATGGAGAAAACCCTTTTATATAAGTAAATTGAGAATATTCCTTATTCAAGGGATTTCTGTTTCCTGCATGATGGCAGAGGGGTTAACAAATATGGTAGCCAGCCACTAACACAGCTCCTAATGACCCCACCTCTTGGCATTTATTCTTCCATGGAGAGAGGCAGACCTAAGTTACCAGTAGGATTTTTCAGAACCGATGATGGCAAGTACTAAGATTGAGAAAGCCCTAGTGGTAAAGTGGAGTGAGATAGACTAATTTTTTCAATGGTCCTAACCACAATGCCAGTACCTAAGCTAGCTGTGACACTGAACAGAAATTAAAGAAGTCCTAACACCTTGAGGGAAAAGAATTTCACATGGCCCAGAAAGTGAATGGTGAGCACAAATTCAGTTTATTCAGGGAACAAAACCATGCTTGAATGATTAAGGGAAATTTGTATGTAAACTCAATAGACTTTTTGAAGCATCAGATTAAAGACTATTTAATGAAAGTTAATGAAACCTGCAGATAAGCTAGAGAAAATTGATAATAAACTTAGTGTTTTTTTTTTTTTTTTTTTTTTGGCCAGTCCTGAGGCTTGAACTCAGGACCTGAATGCTATTCTTGAGCCTCTCTGTGCTCAAGGCTAGCACTCTACCACTTGAGCCACAGAGACACTTTCAGCTTTTTCTTTCATTTTTTTTATTGTGAAAATACAGAGGAGTTACAATTACATGGGCAAGATAATGAGTACATTTCTTTTTTTTTTTTTTTCACCTGTAAATTTTATTGAACACCTACCAGGTAGTAATGTTACAGAAATGAACTATAAAATCAAATGTCTCTACCCTTAAGCAGTTTGTGTTAGTCAATACTAATTAATGATTATGCAAATAAGATATAGCATTTCTGCTCTAGTATTAGAGACAAAGGTAAAACAAGGACAAGACAAAGGGAATGCTGGGTAAGAGTGTTGCAATTTTCTTTCTTTTTTTTTTTAATTTTATTTTATTTGAGAACATACTGTACAGAGGGGTTACAATTACATGGGCAGGATAATGCATACATTTCTTACCAAGCATTGCAATGAGTACATTTCTTATCAAGCATTGTAGCCTCCTCCTTTGTTTCCCCTTCCCATCCCTTTCCATCCTCCCCCCCTCCCCCCCCCAATCCTCCCCGCCCCCCCCCCCCCCACCTGCACGAAAGTTGTAAAGTTCGTTTTCGACATAAGGACTTGTACATCTCA